GAGGAACTTGGCCTACAAAACAAAGAATAACGGTTAAACTCACATGTCTACAGAGGCATACCATCACAGCAAATGAGGGCGCACGTAAAGCTGGAACCGTCCTGACTCCCAGCGCCCCAGGCGCATTAGTGCCTCCTTCGGGAAACCCAGCTCGCTCGCCTGCGTCGCCGCTCCTATTCTAAAGGAATGCGAGGAATACCACCTGGGGTCCCCACCCAACCTGACAATACAACTCCGCAAGAGGCTCGCAAATTGGAAACGGCTCAGTGAAGATCCATTAAGATGGACCAGCAATGAGCCCTCCGCGCCACCCCTGGCGCCCAGATAGGCTTGCAACAAGTACCCCGGACAAAATACACCCCCAGTAAGCCCGATACGTACCCTCGCTCCCAGGCCTGCCTGGTCCGTCTTAGACCGCCGAATCACCAGAGTCACGCACTCCGACGTCACTGAGACGTCGGAAAGCTTCAACGCTGACACCGAGTTCGCCCTGGGGGCTACCAGCTCACCGATCCGCAGCGCCCCAAAGAAGCACAAAGAAAATGCCACCCTAAATAACAGTACCTCGTATGTAGAGCTACACACTTCCGGAAGAACTTCCAACAGCTGCAGCAGCATGGCCCCCGAGATCGGCCGCCTTTTGTCGGGAACGCGCCGCTTTTTCCACCCTTTTAGAATGCGGGACACACAGAAAGCCTTGGTGACATCTGACCAACCTAAAAAACGAAATAAAAAGGAGAGAGCAGCCAACGATTGTTCCGCCGCTGCAGCCGACCTACCTGCGGCACACAACGACTCCAAGAACGACAGCGTAATGGTCAATCTTCCGGAGTCAGACGCCGCCTCACCGCTCCTACCCCTGGCCCACCAGCGCTCCCAGATGGCGGAGTAAGCCCTCCAAGACGACTCAGATGAGGACCCCCGAATCAAACGTCTCAAATGTCCGAAACCAGGTCCCACAAGTAAGGCGGACACGGGGTTCCCGTCAGCGCCGCCTCCCGAAAACGGTCCCACTGAAACCGAGAAAGAGAGTCAGCAATGACATTGTCTACCCCCGGCACATGCCTGGCTACCAACCACAAATTACATTGAAGACAGAGTAGCACTAGCCGTCTAAGCAATGCCAAGACCGGAGGGGACCCAGACGTGGAACGATTGATTACCTGAACCACACTCATGTTGTCCGTGTAAACAACCACCTTCCTGTGCGCTAAGCCCGCACCCCACAAGTCGACCGCAACCACAATTGGGAACAACTCTAGAAACGCCAGTTTACCCATGAACTCCGAACCCCGCCATTTGGCCGGCCACTCCGCCGCACACCACTGCCCCCGAAAATAAGCCCCAAAACCTATGGACCCTGATGCATCAGTAAACAAGTCCAACTCCTCGTTAGACACCTCCGAACGCAACCAACAAGAATGACCATTATACGTACCCAAAAAAGCGCTCCACACCTGCAAGTCCGACCGCAGCCTACTTGTAATCCGAATAAAATGAAACGGCTGTACAACCCCCACCGTAGCTAAGGACAAGCGTCGACAGAACGCACGGCCCATGGACAGAACACGACAAGCAAAGTTCAGATGACCCAACAGCGATTGCATCAGCTGCAACTGTACTTTTTTGGAGCCCTTAACCCGGTCAACAAGGCAGAGTAACTGCCCCAGCTTCTCCTCTGGTAATCGAAAGACCATCTCACAAGAGTCAATCTCGATCCCCAAATAAGCCAACTTATTCACCGGCCCGAACGTCTTGCTTACCACCACCGGTACACCAAACTCTGACGTAATCTGCCGAAAAGCCCTTAACAACACTGCACAGTCGTCGGAAGCTCCCGACCCGACAAACAAAAAATCATCCAGGTAGTGGGTCAACGTGGACAAACCCGACACCTGTGACACCACCCATTCCAAGAATGTCGCAAACATCTCGAAGTAGGCGCAGGAAATAGCACACCCCATGGGCAAGCACATGTCATAAAAGAACAAACCATTAAATTGACAACCCAGGAGATGGAAACAGTCAGGGTGAACCGGCAGCAGACGAAAAGCCGACTCAATGTCCGATTTGGCGAGCAACGCCCCGGACCCTGCATCTCTCACTAACTCCAAAGCCCTGTCAAATGAAGCATAGCGCACCCTGGACACCTCTTTGTCAATATCGTCATTCACTGATCCACCAGCTGGATAAGACAGGTGATGAATGAGACGAAAGACGCCAGGCTCCTTCTTAGGGACCAAGCCCAGGGGCGACACTCGCAAGTTAACAAACGGGGGCTCAGAAAACGGTCCTGCCATGCGGCCCAAGGACACCTCTTTTTCCAACTTCTGACCCAGAATATCCTCTTTTCCCGAAACCGAACGTAAATTGCCCGCAAACGACGGTGCCTCAGACAAAACAAACGGAATCCAAAACCCAAATAAAAACCCGTCCAATAAAATACCCGCTTCCCGCCGTTTAGGATACCGGTCGAGCCACGGGCGCATCTTTTCGACGCTCACCGGCGTCCTCCTGTCTAGGAACGTCTTCCTTGGGGCGCACCCCTGACTTCCCTTTTTTAAAACAGCGCACGGCGGGGTGTGCTCCGCCACAGTGCGAACACTCATGCCGGAACCTGCATGAATTGTACCACTTACAGTGGCTCTCATTAAAGAGCCAACAGACTCCCCTACGCTGTCCTGCCGGCGCACTAGCCTGTGCGCCGGCAGTCCCTGGAAAGGGGGATGGCCGGCAGGGCGTCATCAACAGCAGCCATAAGCTGCCATCCTGCACCCCAAAATCCATGCCCTCGCTGACCGCCATCTTCTGCCGAAATTGCTGGTCATACCGGTACCAGCATTGCCCCCCATAAACCTTGTACGCCCCCCAAATGAGATCCAAGTAACCGAACAAGGAGGGAGCCTTGTCCGGAAAACTAGCAGTGAAAATACTGGCGAAAACTGAAAAACCTTGTAGCCAATTCCCAAAAGTGCAGGGAAGTTGCTTACCTCTCTCACTGTCACCGAGGTCACCTCGCCGCGGTCTATCCACCGATTCCCTATCCGGAGGAACCAACGACAGGAAGTCGACATATTCACCCCGAACTATTTTCTCCCTGACGTCTGCTGCCACATGCAGACCCAGTGGGGACAGCTCACAGCCCGGCAACCGTGGGCGCATAATACCCAGCCCCTTGTTCCTGCCTGGCAGCTGCGACGCAGCCCCCCGCAGACTTAGCGGAGTAGAAGAGGGGACAGCCACAGGCAACCTCTCCAATACCGACCTCAACAAGTGAACTAAATCCCCTTGACTCTCCCCATCTAGCTGCCTACCTAAATCCTGTCTGTCCAGCTCCCTCCTGTCTTGGGAACCCAACCCCCTATCACCCTCAGCCAGCGCATCCCAGGCGCAAGAGCAATACTCACGCGCTGATGCTGCAGGAGGCAGACCGGACCCACTGGGGAACACGGCATCCTCTTCTTCAGATCCGGAGTGCAAACCGGATTGGCATCCATCTTCCTCCCGTTCCTGGGACCCGCAGGCACCGGCAGCGTACCTCTGCGGTCCTTGTCGCGAATCTTCGGGGTGCTCACGCAACGCAGGTGATCTTCCGGCTCCTGCCCGTGACGTCCGCGCGCATGCGCGCCGCGGCATTCTTCGCGTCATCACGTCCGGCGTTGCACGCACGCAGGATTGCGTGCGTGATGACGACTCCCTTACCCGCGCCGGAAGAGAAGGGCGCGGGCTGCGCGACCTTCCGGCCGGGTTCCCGCCATCAGGATCTCCGCCATCTTGGGGCCCGGCCGCAGCAAGTACCTGACCGGCCCTCCTCCACCTCCGGCTGGGCACACTGCGCGCCGGCAATCGCCCGGCATCGCCGCTCCCCTCCTCGGACCGCTGGGCACTCCTCCCGCCGCTCCTCCGTACCGGGCTTGGAGACAAACGTGACGGAGGCCTCGACCTCCTGGCCCTCCGCCCGCTTAACGACTCCTCAGCTCCCTCAGGCCGATCCAGACGTCCTCCTGCAGCCTGCCGCACTTGAGACAGCACCTGTTCTAAGGAGCCATGGGACTCCTGGTAAGCTGCCATCATTTTTACTAATTCCTCCAGCGATGGGGTGGCCATGTTGAAGCTTGTTCCTCACTTAGGCAAGATCTATTGATTGGTTTGTTTCTTGCAGGCCCAGGTATTCCCCAACAGACACAAGAAAGGCAACTCCAAAAGAACAGTACAGTCAGCGAGAAAAATTAAACCAGGGTGACTGACTATCTCCTTCTGACTGGTAAGTCTCCTCCCTTGCTTCACCTTTATGAATCCTTCCATCTTTGCAACATTGTTGCTACCATTGTACCATCCCACTATCCTGGGCAGCAGTCATGCTCCCCCTTCCCTATTTGTCCAGGGGGACACTTTACAGTTAAAATTTCAGGTGTCACAGGTCCTAGCATGGCTTCTTAAAGGGGCAGCAATGTAAATGCTATTTAGCTATTTCTTTCCCAGTTTGTGCAAATATTTCCCAAACTCATATGAACATCAGAAATCTCCAAAATATCATTTAATATCCTGCCAACCGGCCAGCTGGAGTGCAAATTGCAGCAGCAATGGAATGTTAAGTTGGCTGGCTGAGGGTTCTGAGAGTTGTATTTCCTTTGCACGCAGCCTGCTGTTGCTGTAATCTAGGAGTGTATTATTGTTGGACTGTAACTCTCAGCATGCTCAGCCATACATGTGTTGTTGTTGTTGAGCTGATGATGTGGGTTAATGTGAGGATCACACACTGTGTACCCCAGGAACATGTAGCTCAGCAGGTTTCTGGGGACTGTAATGCCCACGTGGATGGCTGAGGATGATGGGAAGCTTAGTTCACCGTGGTGGAAGGCTGGGCAGAGAGCCAGGCTCTGGGAGAGGTCAGCTGATCTCTGACAGGTCATGTGACTGAGAGGAAGATCAGGAAGTAGGAAGAGATTTGAACAGTTATATAATGAGATAAACAGGCAGATAGTGTCAGATCTCCAGCAATGATACCCAGAGCCTCACAGTGTATCCAGCACTGCACAGGGTGGGGGAGCATGCAGACAGCAGGCTGGTGCCAGGACTGTGCCAAGCTGGGAGAGACTAACATGCCCAGGAAACCCCTCATTACCTGCTGGAGGCAGAAGACCCCCTCCTGGATGTACCAGTCATTGGCACTGTGTGCCCTGCTGGCTGTGGGATGGTGTGCACCTTTTAACCAGGTACAGACAGGACAATGAATGCTGTCAGGGTCTGTGTAATGGGGGGTTAGATTGGCAGGGTCTGTGTAATGGGGGGTTAGATTGGCAGGGTCTGTGTCATGGGGTTAGATTGGCAGGGTCTGTGTAATAGGGGTTAGGTTGGCAGGGTCTGTGTAATGAGGGTTAGATTGGCAGGGTCTGTGTAATGGGGGGTTAGATTAGCAGGGTCTGTGTCATGGGGTTAGATTGGCAGGGTCTGTATAATAGGGGTTAGATTGGCAGGGTCTGTGTAATGGGGGGGTTAGATTAGCAGGGTCTGTGTCATGGGGTTAGATTGGCAGGGTCTGTATAATAGGGGTTAGATTGGCAGGGTCTGTATAATATGGGGTTAGATTGGCAGGGTCTGTGTAATGGGGGGTTAGATTAGCAGGGTCTGTGTAATAGGGGTTAGATTGGCAGGGTCTGTGTAATAGGGGTTAGATTAGCAGGGTCTGTGTCATGGGGTTAGATTAGCAGGGTCTGTGTCATGGGGTTAGATTGGCAGGGTCTGTATAATAGGGGTTAGATTGGCAGGGTCTGTGTCATGGGGTTAGATTGGCAGGATCTGTGTAATAGGGGTTAGATTGGCAGGGTCTGTGTAATAGGGGTTAGGTTGGCAGGGTCTGTGTAATGGGGGTTAGGTTGGCGGGGTCTGTGTAATGGGGGTTACGTTGGCGGGGTCTGTGTAATGGGGGTTAGATTGGCGGGGTCTGTGTAATGGGGGTTAGATTGGCGGGGTCTGTGTAATAGGGGTTAGGTTGGCAGGGTCTGTGTCATGGGGTTAGGTTGGCAGGGTCTGTGTCATGGGGTTAGGTTGGCAGGGTCTGTGTAATGGTGGTTAGGTTGGCAGGGTCTGTGTCATGAGGGTTAGGTTGGCAGGGTCTGTGTAATAGGGGTTAGGTTGGCAGGGTCTGTGTAATAGGGGTTAGGTTGGCAGGGTCTGTGTAATAGGGGTTAGGTTGGCAGGGTCTGTGTAATGGTGGTTAGGTTGGCAGGGTCTGTGTCATGGGGTTAGGTTGGCAGGGTCTGTGTAACGGGGGTTAGATTGGCAGGGTCTGTGTAACGGGGGTTGGGGTGGCAGGGTCTAATTTCCAGATCCCTTTAGTTTTAGTGAGTGTGTGTATGTATGTATGTATGTATGTATGTATTACTGGGTATATGGTTCGGGATGTGTATCACAGAGCTGTATCTCGGTTATAGAAATACAAATATCTGAAAAGACACAAAATACAAGCAGATCCTGAAAAACGAAAGCTATAGAGTGAGGGCGTAGAATATTTTAAAGCTAGGTGCTGGGTACGTGTTGAATGAACAAAGGCTGCAGCCAGTCATACTATGATGGAGACTGGTGGTGCATTGGTTGGCATGTGATGACATTTTAATCCTAACACCTCTATCTCACTCATACCCCAGGTCTCCCCCGTGGTAACCATGGAGCAGTTACTATGGGTCAGTGGACGCGTGATTGGTAAAGTAGACACGTTCCGTATTCCATTAATTACTTACACCCCTCGTGGGCACCTCCTGGCATTCTCTGAGGCACGAAAGTATTCGTCTTCTGATCTGGGTGCAAAATTCATCGCTACACGCCGTTCAAAGGATGGAGGTGAGTGACAGACTGCCCAACATTGCTTCAGCATGCGACAATCTAATAAACTGATACATGGGGATAGCCAGTCTAATGTGTACCAAACAGGGAAATGCTTTTACAAGCTCTTATTGGACCTGTGTATATTTTACTGTTACGGTATGGTTACAAAACAGAGCTAGGCAAGCCTGAATTCAGCCAAAATAAAAATTATAATAAAGGTGTTCCACACAGTGTAACCATTGCCTGGCTCTATTAGAACCCTGAACAGTCCATATAATTAGATTTCTAGGAATCTGAAGCCATGTGTATCCTCCGTACAGCCTGTGCGGTGTCTAGTTCACCAGTCGTCTGTATTTGGATTTGAATAAAAAGCCTTTTCTGTTGGATTTTTTAGTAAAAAAAAGTCTGTTATTTTTGAGATCTTTATTTAAAATAGAAACTCATTCAGATTTTGTTGGAATTTAAATGAAATCACATTACAACTTAAATGTATCACAAATTAAGCCATTACTTTTGTCTAAAGGACAAGCAGATTTTATTTTTTTGGACCAAATGTGTCAGAAGCCCGAGCTTTAAGCAGCTTCCTTTTGCCACTTCTTCCCATGAACCAAGACTCGCAATGACTTATGCCTGATGCACAATAGATGCTTATGGCTTCTTATTATATGAGAAGATCTGTGGGGGACATTGCGAGTGCTAGAGTACACCGGTGATGTGGCTCCTGTAGGCTTCTTCTACCAGGATGGGAGGGTGGTGGAACTAACGAGGGAGAACTTCAGGCAATATATCTCAGCTCCCACACTCCCAGTGGAAGCAAACATGTTATCTTGGGGAGGCTTTACAAAAAATGTAGAATCTCTAAACATACCGTGATACATTAAACAGAATGTCACGTGAAATAAGAAGAGTTTGCTTATTTTAACGCAATGAATAAAATGAGATATTCCAGGTGATATTTATTTTTATTTCCATATGGCTATTTTTCACTTGGATATTTTAAAGGAACACTATAGGGTCAGGAACACAAAGGAACACGAACATGTATTCCTGACCCTATAGTGTGAACACCACCATCTAGACCCCCTGGGCCTCTCATGCCTCCCTAAATATAGTAAAAATCTTACTGTATTCAAGCCTGAAACTGTAACTCTGCATGCTGTTTGCCTAAAACAAACAAACCAAGCAGTCTGCTGACATCATCAGAAGTGGTAGCCTGATCCAATCACAATGCTTCCCCATAGGATTGGCTGAGACTGACAAAGAGGCAGATCAGGGGCAGAGCCAGCATGATTCAAACACAGCGCTGGCCAATCAGCATCTCCTTATATAGATGAATTGAATCAATGAATCTCTATGAGGAAAGTTCAGTGTCTGCATGCAGAGGGAGGAGACACTGAATGTTTGGATGCATTTTAGGCAGCCATGACCCAGGAAGGATCTCTAACAGCCATCTAAGGAGTGGCCAGTGAAGTTATCACTAGGCTGTAATGTAAACACTGCATTTTCTCTGAAAAGAAAGTGTTTACAGCAAAAAGCCTGAAGGTAATGATTCTACTCACCAGAACAAATTCAATAAGTTGTAGTTGTTCTGGTGACTATAGTGTCGCTTTAATAAGCTGACTGTAAAATCATAGTTACCTCCCTGAGTTGACACACCTTGCCGAAACAGGGAGTGCACAAGTAAACGTTCTGGACAGAGCTCAGGAAACGTTGAGCATTAATTATACAGAAATGGCCGCTCCCATTACAGGGCTAAGTGATGCTCGTTTTATAAACAATTCTGCTTTCTATATGTTTATTTTTAATGTAAACACAATAAAACATATAAACAAGGCATGGCTCAGACATCAATACCTCCCTTGTTATTTTGATTTTTGCATGTTAGAATCCACTTCATTTTTTTTTTTTTTTTTTTTTTTTTTTTTTTTTTTTTTTTTTTTTACTCTCCCTCTTCTTTTGGTAAAGTCATGATTTTTTGTTAAATGTTTAACTCTACAATTCTTTTAGTTACATTTTTCATTATTTGTATTTACCAATATGTTATTGATATGATTAAACCAATTTATCAAATTTAGCCAAAATCGTATTTGGAGAATTTCTCAAGTGTAGTTATTTTTCCAGCTTTGCACAATTTGGGCCTCAATAGTAAATCCATGCTGCTGCTCCCTATCAATCATTGTTCTAAGCTCTGATATTTGCACTGTCAGTCTGCAGAGAGAGAGCAGAAGGATTAGAAACTAACAGCAATATGTGAAGAAAGGTTAACATAGGTACATTTTAATGTTTTATTGAATGGCGTAACTTTCAGGCAAGTGACAGTTCCTCTTTAAATCTTGTCTTTCAATTGTCCCTCAAATAAAAAGGAAATTTGGAAACTGCAGGAAGTTTAGTAACATATATTGCTGCGTAGAAAGAGATAAACCGAAATTCTCAAAGTGGAAGGAAGATGAAGCCTTTACGCTAACCCCCCAAACAGCGCACTAGCAGACACTGCGTTCTAGACAATAAAAATTGGGAGTGAGATTTTCATCTAAACATGGATTTTCTAATCAGAAAATAAAATAATGGAGAACTTCGTAACTTTGTTGGTAAAATAATTATTTCTTGTATACGTGTTAATCCTTTTGCAATATTGTAATTTCATTTATATCTCCTTTTCAAATAGCTCTAAACAATCCTACAATCGTGTATCTTATTTTATGAATCCTGGAAGGTTTATTCTCTATAGTATCAAATGTCGGAATTCAGAAAGAATTTCATATTTTAAGCAACCTAAATATTAGAATTATTACAATGACTCCCATTCATTTTGTTTTTGGTTTGACTATTTTAGTTTCACATTTTAATTCTTTGAATGTTGGAATTCATTTTGATTTCCCGGTAATTTACACTTTTATGAATAACTCTGCAATGTTCCTCTCTCCAACCATAACGGCTGTTTTAGAGAATTGTTTAAAGTTTCATTAGATTTACGGTTTGCCTAAATCATTGACCTTCGCATTGATATTGGTACATTGGTACATTGATATACCTCACAGTGAATGATGAGAGTTTATCACTTCCTCCTGCTTTGTACTGAGGATTCAGAATGACTCGTGACTGGTTTCCTTGGTCAGAGACCTTGATCTTTCCATGTAAAGCCGGATTCGTAATGGCAAGGCCTCAGGGAGCTTAGACACAGAGCTAGGATTTCCACAAAACCTCAAAAGATTTTCTCACCTGCCAGCAAGCGCTTTTATTGTAAATAAAACTTAAACCAGTTATGCTACGTTCCGGAGACTGCTGCTTGTTGAGCATTGTGTATACAATGAGCTAAATGCTATCAAAACATCTGTGTTTCTGTATCGCATTACAAGCGACTCAAAGCTTGAACGCCGGGTTTGGGATGATAGCCTCTCAGGGTCAGTGTTTGAAACGCCAAGTAATCGCCATGGAAACTAATCAAATATTCATGGAATTTTCGAATATTTATTTCTGCTATGCCTAACCTGCCGTGTGTCATCAGAATTAATGTACTAGTCCTACACCCGTTGATTAATTAAAGGAAAACTATAGTCATCAAAACAACTTTAGTTCAATGAAGCAGTTGTGGTGTATAGATCATGCATCTGACATTTCGCTGCTCAATTCTCTGCCATTTAGGAGGTAAATCACTTTTGTTTCTGTTTATGCAACCCTAGCCACAACTCTCCTGGCTGTGACTGACACAGCCTGTATTAAAACAAAATGTTTTTACTTTCAACCAGATGTAACTTACTTTTAGTTTTATTTTTTTTCTCCTTCTCTGTAAAATGAACTTTAATTGTATACATTAGGTTCCTGCAGGGTCTAGCAAGCTATTAACTGAGCAATTTGTAATAAAGAAAGTGTAAACACTAGAGGACTCTTTACAGGAAGTGTTTAGAATGCTGTGTGAGTCATTTGCAGGAAGGCGTGACTAGGGCTGCATAAACAAAGTGATTTAAAGGACCACTCCACTCTTCCAACCCCCCCCCCCAAAAAAAAAACCCTACAGTTTAGTAGATATACCCCCAATGAATACATACATGCATGCATGTTTTCATTGGGGGTATAGCCTAAAATAGATTTACAAAAGCTGCAGTTCTTGTGACGGCAGCCTTTGTAAGCCCTCCCCCTTTCTCGTTGAGAAGCCTCTGACTTGGTCCACATGTGCACGCGCGAACAGACTCTCACGTGCATGTGTGCCGGCTCGTGCGTGCCCGCTGCTTGTGCACTACTGAAGCAGGTCTGAGTTCTGTTAGGGTGGGAGGGGGAGGCCGGCACACTCAAGTAGAGCGTGCCTGCCACTTCCGTTAGCTCAGGGGTGCTAATGGAAGTAGGAAGGAATTCTTCCTGGCTGTTTGACAGCCTGGGTGGAGTTCCTTAGTTAATTTATAAAAGTGCTGATTTCTCATAGAAATCAGCACTTTTATAAACTGGGGTTAAATGCTCCTCCCCTACAAAGCAAGCTGAAGTGCTTTTTGGGTTGTGGAATAGTCCTTTAACTCCTAAATGGCACAAAAGTACATTGAGACTACAGATGCATGGTCTACACACCAAAACTGCTTCATTAAACTAAAGTTGTTTTGGTGACTATAGTGTCCCTTTTAATTTCATTTAATCTGCCTTACTTACAAGGGTTTTTTTCAGGAGCAGCACTCGGAATTTCCGGTCTAAAGTCACTGATATTTCTTCATTTTTCCATTGATCCTCATGCTACATTCAGCCTCCCCGCTGGTGGGCATTCTACCAGATTTACCTTAAGCTTTTTGTCAGGCCAGTAACAGCAGATAGCTGTGTGCTAACCCTCAGCTCAAGCATTGTGCTAATGTTAGATTCTATCTGTGTGCTGACACTTGATTGTACACTCTAGTTTTTTTTTTTTTTTTCCTACTAGCAATTGTGTTTAATTTGTAATTTAATAATATGTTAATTTACTTCCACTGTAGGCTACACTTGGAGTGCAACGTCCTTCATTGTGGATGATGGATCTTCACCCGATGGCCTCAATTTGGGGGCTGTGGTTGTGGATGATGAGAAAAAGAACATGTTTTTGATCTACACACTTTGTGCCCACTACCACCACTGCTCCACCTCAAGCGTCATGATTACAAACAGCTCGGATGATGGTCTAACGTGGAGCACCCCCAAAAACCTTTCTGTGGAGATTGGAACCACCATGTTTGCACCTGGGCCAGGGTATGGAGTCCAGGTGGGGAAAGAAAGAATGCTAATCTGCATGGCAGTAATCCATATATCTAAAAAAAAATAATAATAATAATAATAATAAAAAATTTTTATTTATATATATATATATATATATATATATATATATATATATATATATATATATATATATATATATATATATATATATATATATATATTTATTACATTTCTCTCTTTACTTTATACAGAAAAGGTTTTCACCCAAGAAAGGACGTCTGATTGTATGTGGTCACGGGACGCTAAATGAAGATGGGATTTTCTGTCTGCTCAGTGATGACCATGGGCTTCACTGGAAAAAGGGTGGAAGCTTGCAAGGGCTACCCTTTAATCAACCAAAAAAGATGGGCGACTTCAACCCAGACGAGTGTCAGGTGAGGGGTGTTTTGGTTTCTGCTAGAGCAATCGCAATACCGTCCGTGCATGCAGAGCAGGGTTTCCCACAATGCACCATGAGCTGCTAGTTGAGATACACATTAGTTTAGTTGAGCTACGGAAGACAAGAGGGCAGGGGTAAATGTTGGTCATTTGCAAACCAAACGTACCTCTCTAGATCAATTAAATCAAAGCAAAAAAACGCTAAGTCTGAATAAGATCTTTCATTTTCTACATCATCTGTGTTTGTGCAGATTGGTTTGCCTGTACATTGGTCACACCTTATTGGTAAATTCCTTTCCATGAAAGGTCACCTGATCAGTCTTGGCCGCATGCACATTCAAGCAGAGGGCTTTTCTCAATCTGAGTCTGGATCCCATTGCCATAAGAATACCCCAGGCAAATAAATAGCGATTTCCTCATAGACCTTTAAAGGCATCTCTGTAACCGTGATTACCGCTTTGACATTGATTTCTATAATCTAATATTTAAAGGGACACTATAGTCACCAGAACAACTACAGCTTATTGAATTTGTTCTGGTGAGTAGAATCATTCCCTTCAGACTTTTTGCTGTAAACACTGTCCTTTCAGAGAAAATGCAGTGTTTACATTACAGCCTAGTGATAACTTCACTGGCCACTCCTCGGGTGGCTGTTAGAGATCCTTCCTGGGTCATGGCTGCCTAAAATGCATCCAAACATTCAGTATCTCCTCCCTCTGCATGCAGACACTGAACTTTCCTCATAGAGATTCATTGATTCAATTCATAGAGAATAAAGAAAAAAATGCCATTCTACCTGTGTATGATTTGCTGAGACGATTATAGTAAATCATACACAGGTAGAATGGGATTTTTTTCTTTTATTTTGTTTATTCTCTATGATATTCACCATTTAGGGGTTACCCCCCCTTTATTTGTGCCCCCTACCTTGTGATATCTAAATTTTGGCCCTAGGTTAATTTTTATTTTTATTTTTTTTGTATATTGATTCAATTCATCTCTATGAGGAGATGCTGATTAGCCAGGGCTGTGTTTGAATCATGCTGGCTCTGCCCCTGATAAGCCTCTTTGTCAGTCTCAGCCAATCCTATGGGGAAGCACTGTGAGTGGATCAGGCTACCACTTCTGATGATGTCAGCAGACTGCTTGTTTTTCTGAGTCCAACAGCATGCAGAGTTACAGCTTCAGGCTTGAATACAGTAAGATTGTGCTATATTTATTGAGGCATGAGGGGCCCAGGGGGGGCTAGATGGTGGTTTTAACACTATAGGGTCAGGAATACGTGTGTGTGTGTGTGTGTGTGTGTGTTCCTGACCCTATTGTGATCCTTTAAATAAATGCCTTTTTCATTGTTTACTGACGTGTGTGTGTGTGTGTGTGTGTGTATATTTTCAGTTTAATGCCTATGTTTGTAAATGCCATATGGAGTTAAAACTCATCTTTGGCACTGTACTTGTGGATCTCATTTCCCATGGGCTTTTAGCCTGGCCTCTATCCTTAGAAACGCAATGTCAGTCTTAGCCATCCGTTTATTACAGAATAGCTCTGATATTCCTGTAGTTTGTATCAGGGCCCAGATGCTGCATGGTGCTGGTTGCAATCTATGAATAGCATAGTCTAAACCCAACGCATTTCATCCACTGCACGGTCTCTTTAACAGGACAAATCCTGAAAGGCATCAAAACAGCTGAACACATTAGAAAGTGATTTTACTCTGTGCTGCTCTTTAAAACGTCTTGTAACTGAGTTTGCTATATTGGTCCACACCAGCAGTGGCCAAACAGTAGAATCAACACTGTTGAACTACAATTCCCATGAGGCTTGTAATTCTACAGATAAAACGATTTGTTTCAGCCAGTGCAGCTCTGCTCAACACTATATTGTAAAATAATGTGGGAAAACGTTTTGAGACTTTGTTCAATGTGTTGAAACTTACTTCATTTACAGTTTCCTCAGTCCCATTTCTTTCTTCTTCTGTCATAAATAAATAACGTTTTATTTTTTAATTCCATTTCATCCTACACAGCCGTACGAACTCCCAGATGGCTCCGTGATAATTAACGCTCGGAACCAGTACTACTATCATTGCCGCTGCCGGATTGTGGTGACATCCATCGATGGCTGCGATTCCCTTCCTCTGGAGAGCGTTCGCTTTGATGAGGGTCTGCCGGATCCTGCTGTGGCCGCAGGAGCGCTATATAAAAGAGGAGTGGTCTATTTTACGAATCCAGCGAATCAGTTGCACCGTGAGTTTCCTCTAGGAATTCGCCCTCCATTCTTTACCATCTTGGCTCAATGTCCTCCTTTCACTTCCCCCTCTGTCACCAATTATCTGTCTCTCTGCTCTTCCCGTCGCAGTCTCCTTGCAGAGGTTGGTTTTACACTTCTGACAACCCGACCTCTAGTCCGCCCACACTCCTCCCTGGTTTTCATTAATATCCATTGCCTCCATGATGCTGACACACTAGCTACGTTGCCAGCTTCTGAACAGGGTGACGTCATGTTACTCCATTCCTATACTCCTTAGGAACCACAGCTGGAGATCAGAGGGACATTCTGTGGGAGGGCTCTTCTGCTCTCCCTGGCTCTCAATTCCTCTGCATTCAGTGCCTGCCGAGGAATTGAGACAGATGGGAGAAAACTATTTTGAATTAGTTTTTTCTCTAAATCTATACATTTGCTAACACAATGTATAGATGGAATTTCAAAGTCTTTTAAAATTGAGCTGCGTTTCTTTTTTCCAGTGACCGATTCCCTTAAACTCTCCTTCATTTCTTTCTGTCCCTTCTACCAGGTGTTAATCTGACCCTGCGATGGAGCTTTGACTCTGGAGACTCGTGGGAAAAAAACGCTGTCCAAATCTGGCCTGGTCCCAGTGGATACTCATCGCTCACCTCCCTCTTTGGCCATGTGGAAGACAATGAAAACATTTATGTTGTCTATGAAAAGGGCAGAAAGGATATAACCGAGTCCATCGCTGTTGTGAAAATAAACCTTTTTGGGAATTTATGACACATGATACACTCCAAACCTCTGCGTTCTATCTAAGCCTGACTGGAATTAGCTGATTTATTGCACAAAAGTCTCTCCCATGTCAACTGTCTATCCATATCTCATACTGTCTCTTCATAAGAGAATATGTTGAGCTGTTATAGCTCCTACTGTTTATATTTATAGTGTTATCCCATTCTTATTATCAATCTTCTCTAAGCCTCCCCGCTTCTCATTCTCTATTCGTGGACTAAATTTGGCAAGTGATTAAAAACTTTCCAAAACAAAATCATCTGTGATTTCATAGTCTGTTTTGGGTATTTTGGTCCATGTCTCCCTATCCCCACCTCCCTAAAGTTTCTTGTGAGATGTACCTCCTGTTAGGGAGGAAGGTGTGTCCAATAAGGTGCTAAAGATCGAGAATAAATTACAGCTGCTCAAAAACACTTGTGTGGAAATACTCTCTTATCCACACTTAAAGTAGTCCAAAATCTATAGGGCGGTATAAGTGCAAAACCTACTCCTATAAGTGGAGCACTGAGAAAAATAACGGGATACACTTACCCCATATAATGTGATGGCAAACTTAATGCGCGGTACATGTGAAAAGAATAAAAAAAGCAATATAGTGCAGATGATACATAAAGATAAATTTGTTGTGACGTGGAAAACTCCCATTTAAAGGAGCCTGTATATGAACACTGTGTCCGTAATCAGGCTTGTATGCTTTTAAGATGTGCAAATATAAAGGGATACAGCTGTTTAGCCCAAAAAGACCATAAACAACACATAGTGTGATATAGTTATAAGTATGTATAGACATGCTACTGGTAGCACTCACAGAATGGAGGTAATCACATCGCCTTGAGGGTGCCACTCCTAATCAATAGGGGGTTGTAGAAATCCACCTCACTTCTTTGGAAAGTGGAAAGCAGGAATCAGGTAGTAGAAACAATTTATTGAAGAGAAATAAATAAAAACAGCGGTCCTATCCATTTCGTTCTAAACATAGAACTTCCTCAAGGACCTCTTCAATTTAAAACAATATCATATGAAATGCAGTAAAAAATCCCACCCTCCAAAAATTCCCACCCTCCAAAAGTTCCCAGTATATATGGCTCCTCTTCTCCATAGTTGGTGGTGTAGTAGGTGTGTTTTTATTTCGCTCCACGATTAGTGTTGTCATAATACCAATCAGCTGCTTCAGACGATCCTTTCTGTTAACCCTTCACAATAGCGGTAGTGACGTGTATTTCACGGAACATTTCCATGCATTCCAGGGACGTCATTTTCTCTGTGTGATCGGCTAGTGGCTGCTCATGCGTATTTTTTGTTTTTCATACTCAGCCGTATGACGGTACTTTTAAAAGTCCTCTTATCGGAAAATTAAATAATGTAAATGGTGAAGAAACCACTACAAGAAGAAACATTTATTAGAACCCATAATCCTTATTGGTCACGTATGTGTCAATTAAATAAGATATAACTTTAACTGTAAATTAACGCAATCCTAAAATAGAGTTAGGATTTATGAGTGCAAATGAAAAGAGATAAATTCTCAAACATATCAAAATCGAAAAACCTAATAAAAGATTATAACAGATAATCCCACATATCTTGTTAGCATAAGACTGTTTTTAAATAAAAATCTCTTAAATAAAACATATCAAGTCTATATCCACATTTAACCCATTTTGCTCCAGTGTCCGTAGCCTACGTATCCAGTAAGTTTCCCTCTGAGATAACTTCCTAATTCTATCTCACCCCCTCCAATGTGGGAGGACTTGCTCAATGCCCCTACATATGAATTGATTAAAGTTAAACGCTGGACATTACTGTCAGTGCACTGGAACCAAATGAGTGGCTAAACGTTTTTTTAAATTATGGATGTGCTCCATGATTCTAACTTTAAGGGGTCTTTTTGTACGTCGTACGTATTGCTTACCGCATGGACACTGCAGCAAATATACCACAAAGTCCGTGCGGCACCCTATATAGGAATTAATATAGAACTTTTCACCTGTTGCAGAACAGAAAAAAGTATTGGAGCCAATTAAAGATGCCATAGTACATACCTTGCAATTATGACAGCCTTTAAAACCTTTGTTTGTGGTTATGGGATGGTGTGGTTCAATAGGTTTAATATAACTAGGTGCTATCGTGTTCTTGAGATTTTTATTCTGCTTATTAAGGGTTTTTGCGGTAATACTTGTCCCCTAGTAGGGTTGTTCAGCAGTATAGACCAATATTTTTGTAGACATTTTCTTATCACGTTATGATGACTGTTAAATCTCGACATAAAGGCACAATTGAAAGGGACGTCCTTCTTAATTTTATTTGTATCTGTGGCGAAACCGACCTCGCCACTGGGCATTGGAGAAGACTGATTGCCAGCCTCCTGCCCTGTGACTATGGCCCCATGTTGAAATGCTGAATTTTCCCCTGCAAAGACCCGAAAGCCGGGTCATTCGCTACTTTCCCTATGTGAGCAGTGTTAACCCAGATAGCTATGCCATGGAGACCATTCGTAGAACGAAAGACTATGTGAAAGACTTTGGCTCCATGGCAATTGAACTGTATGTATGTGATCTGAGCGTCATTCAGTAATAATTTGCGTTCAGATCTAAGCTATCTGAGGATATGTTGAATGTACCCGTTTTATGCAATAGCCGCACCATGCTTCATTTGGTCAAATAGGACTTTTCCTTAACCTTTTAACCCCTGAACCGATTCCCCTGATTTTTGAGTATGTGTATATTTCAAGCATGCTGATTCTGAAAATGTATGTTTTATGTGAATAGCATGTATATTTTGGAAGTTATTAATATTTTGTAAAAACTGTATTTCTCTGCCTGTGATAATTATATTACCAATTGTGTTCAGTAATCATATCACAGGCAGAGGGGAGGATTTTGTGTGGGAGTGTCTGTGTGTATTGTACGGATTGATTGGTTGTATTTCAAAACCCTGTGGGCAGTACTATGTTTGTGGATTGTGAATAAAAGAGGCTGTATGTGCCAGTACAGTCAGTTCTGCTTGACCTCAAAACGAAGTGTCGTCTCGTTATTGGGGGAATTGGATTGTATGCTGATTGCCAGGAGTGTAAGCTGATTGTATGCTTTTCCTGTTCAGCTGCTTACAGCATTCATATGCTTCTCCGGTTCGGTGGTTGTGGTGTCTGCTGCAGTGCTAGGAGTCCTCAGGAAGCGCTAGGAGCATCCTTCAACGGAGGTACCCAGTCGGGGTGCCAGGTGATCCGTTACAGTATCCATGAGTAATTCCTCTCTTTTAGAAGTGGTTCTAACTCTAACCTCTTTTTCAATACTGTTCTTATTGTATCCTTGCTGCAGTGGCGTACACACAACCCATGGGGCCCTGGTGCGAAACCTGATCCATGGCCCCCCTCCCGCTTACTCTGCGCGGGCTGGGGCTGCAACACACGGCTGCGGGCACCTGGTCGCAGGGCTGCGACCGCGGTATGTACGCCAGTTCATGCAGATACACATACACTTAAAGAACCACTACAGACACCCAGATCACATCAGCTCAATGAAGTGGTCTGGGTGCCAGGTCCCTCTAGTTTTAACCCTGCAGCTGAAAACATAGCTGTTACAGAGAAACTGCTATGTTTCACCGAGGGTTAATCCAGCCTCTAGTGGCTGTCTCATTGACAGCTGCTGGAGGAGCTTCTGCGATTCTCACTGTGAAAATCACAGTGAGCAGACGCTGAACGTCCATAGGAAAGCACTGAGTAATACTTTCCTATGGACGGTTTGAATGCGAGCACGGCTCTTGCCACGCATGCGCATTCGTAGCTGAGAGGCGGATCGGACGGAGAGATCACCAGCGCCAAGGGAGTCCGGAGCTGGAGAAAGGTAAGTGCTTAAGACACAGACGCATACACACTAGCTAACAGACACACACATTTACTGACAGACACACATAGGGGCTGATGGAGCTGCAGCTCCAAAAAAAAAAAAAATTTTTACTTTTTTTTTTTCTCCACACACTACTCTTAGGGATTCCACCTGGCTTTTATTTTATTGGCACAGCCAGTATTTGAGGCTGCCTGGCTTGTGCCAATATTGCAGTGATATTGGCAATACAAATGCTGGTATTTTTATCAGTATAAACAAGAGATTACTCTGCAATACCAGCACTGGCCAGTAGGCGTTGCTGTATGTGGAGACAGGCAGGGATAGGAAGTCCCAGCATATTCCTCCCTGCCTATCTATACTAACTGATCTGCAGGGGTGCAGCTACAGAGAGTCCAGACAGCAACTCACACTCTGCATAGACAGCCTACAGCTCAGGGAAGTAAGGGATGGGGGAAAGGCTGCAAGGAGACATATACTGAGACACTAACGGACATTGGGAGACATTATGGCAATCACTGAGACACTAAGGGACACTGGGAGACATTATGGCAGACACTGAGACACTAAGGGACACTGGGAGACATTATGGAAGACACTGAGACACTAAGGGGCACTGGGAGACATTATGGCAGACACTGAGACACTAAGGGACACTGGGAGACATTATGGAAGACACTGAGACACTAAGGGACATTGGGAGACATTATGGCAGACACTGAGACACTAAGGGACACTGGGAGACATTATGGAAGACACTGAGACACTAAGGGGCACTGGGAGACATTATGGCAGACACTGAGACACTAAGGGACACTGGGAGACATTATGGAAGACACTGAGACACTAAGGGGCACTGGGAGACATTATGGCAGACACTGAGACACTAAGGGACATTGGGAGACATTATAGCAGACACTGAGACACTAAGGGACACTGGGAGACATTATGGAAGACACTGAGACACTAAGGGGCACTGGGAGACATTATGGCAAACACTGAGACACTAAGGGACATTGGGAGACATTATGGCAGACACTGAGACACTAAGGGGCACTGGGAGACATTATGGCAGACACTGAGACACTAAGGGACACTGGGAGACATTATGGAAGACACTGAGACACTAAGGGGCAGTGGGAGACATTATGGCAGACACTGAGACACTAAGGTACATTGGGAGACATTATGGCAGACACTGAGACACTAAGGGACACTGGGAGACATTATGGCAGACACTGAGACACTAAGGTACACTAGGAGACATTATGGAAGACACTGAGACACTAAGGGGCACTGGGAGACATTATGGCAGACACTGAGACACTAAGGGACACTGGGAGACATTATGGAAGACACTAAGGGACATTGGGAGACATTATGGCAGACACTGAGACACTAAGGGACACTGGGAGACTTCCTGCCTGACTGGACACTGCTGTTAGGGGTTATGGATACATGATGCTTTGGAGTGTTTTACTTTTTTTGGTCGATATGATTCTGTAATTAGGCCCGTCATAATTGTCAGCACCAGGCCCACTGGGCTCTTAATCTGGCCCTGAGTGACAGACATACATACACACTCACTGACTTGTCATTGAGGTGACTATGCTTTTAATATGCAAAACCAGGATGTTTTAAAATTCCACAAAGGAGTTTAAAGGATCTACGTTAACCATTTAAGGAACCATAACAGACTTTATGAGAACCACTTCCTCTTTAAGGAATAAATTAAATCCATAACTCGCTGACTCCATATGCACAAGGTGTTAGCTTATAATGAAGTGATAGCAGTGACCCCCCTATTGCTGGAAGGTGGGGGCCTAAATCAAAGACAAAGCATGTGCAAGACACATTTCAATCATCTCTCTCTATAGTGGGGGAGCAACGTCTAACAGTCTGGTTTTAAACAAATCGTACCAGGGAATGGCCAGTCCACCTAGGCACTACTTGAGCAAATGCTCTGCCTCCCCTCTGTGGTGATGGCTCAATGTGGACATAGGGAGGTATCTCCTGTATATAACCATTAATTATCTGTAAATGGTGAATACTGTAATACTTGTGACCTAGGTGTAGTACTCAAATCCATCCACTAGGTGTCACTGTGCAATCCCATTTCTGTACATTGTTTTCTAGCAAAGCGAGAAAGGGAGCATTTGCTTAGGTGATTTAGCCCTATCAAATTGTAACTGTATTTTTATGTGTGCACTGTTCCTTAAGCTATTAAAAGGTTCACTGTAGGTACCTTAACTATTTCATCTAACTGAACTGGCTTTAATATTAAAGGAACACTTCAATCCCCCTAACCTCTGCAGATGTATGTAGTGGTTATGGTGCCACCCCCCCTCCTTCCATAGTAAGTAGTCTAACCATTTTAGAACGCTCTGACTTCTTATTTGGTTTATTTTTGTTGCCAAGAAAGCTGGCAGAATGTTTCCAGCCCTCCGGCAGTGTGTAGTGGAGGAAGGAGGCGATGACTGTCAGCCCCCTGGTCTAAAGCAGTTTGGCTTCTTACATGGCAGTGGGGATGCTTTATAAATCATGTGCTCACAGATGCTAATTATTATTGATAGTGTTCCGGGGTACAGATGTTGCACAAAGCACTGAATTCTTCTGCATCTTACAAAAACACCCATAAGGGTCAACATAACAAAGTGTAGTTAAAGTGTATTTCATAATTTGTGGCAATGAGATTTATTAACTGAAATTTTATTTTTTTTGTCTTTTTATTTTAAGGTAACTGATATTTTCTGTAGAAATAGTTGACCTAAAAAAATGCTAAATTTTAAGAATTGTTCCAATATGACTATGTTAAGCTAAAATTTGCAACGTACCCTGAAGAAGTGCTGGCAAGCTCAGAAGAAACCAGTTATGCAGAGTACGGGATCCAGAAGCAGGGCTGCGTGTGTCTTCCTAGAATGGCTGTTAGGATGGATCTTAGATCGATATCCAGGAAGATGGCTAAATGTGTCTGTATGACACTATACAAACCTGTCTGTGCAGTTATTAATTATTATTGCACTACATTTTGGGAATGTTCAATGCGCAATATAAGATATATTTATTGCACATATCCCACCCATTTTCTTTTGTTTACACTATAGGCACCCATATCACAGTATCTCAATGAAGTGATCATAGAGACCATTTGATTGGCACAACATGACGTTTTGATGTGCACGCGCACTTGCCCCCAATGCTTTACGCAATAGCAGCAAAGCTTCATGCAGGAGACTGAGGAGAGAGAGAAGTAAACTCACCTTTCAACCCCGGCAGCGTGGCCACTATAGCGTTAGGAATACACATTTGTGTTCCTTTTAGTATCAATAATTGGTATTTGAAGTTTGCCCACCCCGTTTTTACACAATACACATAATTGCATTTAGTAATTCAGGGTATTGCTCTGCGCCCTATTTTTACATATAGTTTGGCTATGAATATTTTATACCATTTTATTGGAGGTGACAGCGCGTATCTAGGGAAATTTTGTGTAATTATAGTGTATTCACTTTTCTTTTATTTGTTCGATAAAATCTTCAGTTTGTCCATAATAAATATAGGAGGCACATGGCTTACATTAGAGGGCCCGGATTTCGCGGGGGTTATATCTAGAATTAAAGAATGTAGAGTGATGGACGACCTAACGGCAAGGGTGAGAGGTAATGTATCGACGTTTTATAAAATTTGGGAACCTTGGGACAATAGTGTAGTTGGCTCGAGAGGAGAGTGAGTGCCTTCCCTGGCACAAGTACGACTCGTACCGGAATTCATTACTGCTAGCAGGGTTTTCTGTGCCGGCGGGGCTACTGTTTTTTTTTTACCCCTCTCTCGTATGCCCCCCCCCCTCCTTCCTTTTTTTTTCCCTCTTCTAAACCTTCCTCTAATTTACTACATACTCTTTCCTATCTATCTCCTTTTCTTCCTCTTTTATTTCATTTTTCTTGCTTTCGTTTTTAATTTTTTTCAGGCTTGGTCATACGATGGGAGGAAAATGAAACAATGACACGACACTGATTAATACATCTGATTGATTGCTGTCATTAGTATCTACTCATA